CCACTAATGAAGTCCCGGCCAACCTCCGACTCTACTCGGTCTCCGACGGCATTCTCTACTTTCATGGTTGTACCTCTGTGGCTAACTCAAGGTCTGAGAAAGCTCTGCCTGTGCTACCTCCTACTACACCGGCCATCAATTGTCTACGAGACCTTCATGATGCTATGGGCCATCCCCCTGCCAGTGCTACAGTCACTCTATTTCAAACTTTCTACTATCTACCTAAACTAAGAGCTCATCTTCGCCGTATCATTGGTGATTGTGATACCTGTCAACGTAAACGCCGTCGGAATGCCTATAGGTCTCAAGGAGGTGTTGTTCAACCAGCTGGCCTTTCTTTCGACGTCGGTAACGTAGTGGTCGTGGACCTTCAAGGTCCTCTGGTGGATCCGTGTGCCCCTGCCTCTGATGCTAAAAACTGGATTCTCACCATCTTAGACCCTGTCAGCTTCTCCGTGGACTATGATGTGCTCAACTATCCTACAACCTCGCTGATCATCAATGCCCTCGAGAGAAACTTTGCTGTCCGTGGCATACCTATGGTTCTAGTTAGCGATGTCGGTTCAACATTCACTTCAGCCTCATTCCTCTACTTCCTACGTTCTTGGAACGTTCGTTCTTGCTGGTTACCACGTGATGCTAGAGGTTATGGTGGTTTCCACGAGAGGTATCATGGCCAACTACTAGAACAAATACGTGCAAGGCTTCTGGACGCTTCTCATCTACCCGACCCTATTCCCCTAAGGACTATCGTTGCCGAGAGTGTCAGCGCCCTAAACCGTCTTCCTCTCTATGATCTAGGCGGTATCTCTGCTCATGAACTACACTACTGTCGTCGCCCTCGCTATCCGATAGGTATCGACGATTCTGATGAGAACAGCGTGACTCTTGACAAACTTAAAGACTGGCTTCCTTCTCTCTGCATCCTAGACCCCCAACGAGAAGTCCTTCATGACGAGCTCGCAACTATGGCTAATGAAGTTGCCACTAGGAGATGTTCCTCACTACTCAACTTTTGGGATCTGTGGTGTGAACGTTCTGATCGCGTCCGTCAACGCTTTGAGAAGCTACCTCTACCTCGAGCTACTTTACTCCGCTATAAGCCTGGTGATCTGGTATTGAAGTTCCGCCGAGGCAGTCTCAAGCAACAATCCTGCTGGTCTGGTCCCTTTCGTGTGGTCGACAGCTCCGAAAGCAACACTCTGTACCGTCTGGAAACTCTCGATGGCCGCCGTCTAAGATATCTCGAGACCGTCTTCAATTTACGCCGCTATACTCCTCCAGTGGACAACGTCGATTCCTACGCCTACAATCCAGACGAGGCCCCTATCCCTGAAGCTCCTCTACAAGACGCCGGTAATGACGATGACGATTTGGTCTATCTTAATCTATGACGATGTAGCTACTAATCTATATCTAATCTACACCTCACATCTATTACTTTGCATGTCATTCATTTTGAGTCTAGTCCGTATCCAATAGTAACACCGCAAGGTGTTAGGTTT